TTGCCCGTGCAGCACGTGAGTTGACCGTGCCGATCCAGATATTTATATTATGGCACGTGAGTTAGCCGTGTGGATACAGATATTTATATTATGGCACGTGAGTTGGCCGTGCGGATCCAGATATTTATATTATGGCACGTGAGTTGGCCGTGCGGATCCAGATATTTATATTATGGCACGTGAGCTATCCGTGCAGCACGTGAGTTGTCCATGCAAATTATAGTACTTGGGCTGTAGGAGCCCCTCTAGAGTCTGTACACCCTCAGTGAGCACAGGTACCCATTGAGAGTGAGTGATGAGGGCTGGGAACCCAGGGAGTGATGAGAGCTGGGAGCCCAGTGAGTGATTGTTGTCCTGAGAGGTTGTACTTGATTTTCATTTGTTGTTGCACTTAGTTGCTATCTGTCATTGTTGTGAAATCTCTCAAAGATTATTGATATACGGATTACATGAACAGGAACTGTATAAAAATTGATTTGACATTAAACTGCCAGATTTGATAGCATGTCTATTCTTTGCTGGGATTACTGGAAATGAACCATACCTGTGTAGCTCGTTACTATCTTCAGTTCCTTATTTATTATTGTTACTTGCTGAGTTGGTTGTACTCATATTACACCATGCACTTCGTGTGCAGATCCAGGTGTTCCCGGACATAGCGGGTGTTGATCATTTCTCGTGGTTGATTTTTAGGAGATTTTGAGGTAGTTGCCGTGTTCCGCAAACCTTGTCTCTCCTTCTCTATCTCTTTGTTCACTATATTTGGTCTGAGACTATTATAGACTATATTTTCAAGACTTGTATTCATATTAGATGCTCATGTACTCAGTGACACCAGGTTTTGGGGAGTGTTTGTATTGTATTTAAATATTATATTTTTAACCTTAAAAAGAAGTTTGAGTTTATTGAGATTACCGGCTTGCTTAGTATCGAGATAGGCGTCATCACGATAGGTTAGAATTTTGGGTCGTGACAATGATACAGTCCAAGACCATCTAGTTAAAAAGGCATAATTAACGGCCAGTGACACTGCTTATATTTAGCCGGATTTGTTGTAAGAAAACAGTATTTTGTAAAGTCAATAAACGTGAAATTGACATGCAAACAATTGTTAGTGTTCTGGTTGTTTTTTTGTGGGAGTGGAACCTCAGCTGGTACAACTCTCCACAGCTTATGTCTTTCGGGTGAATATTTTGTGGTGAGCACTTTGTCCGCACTAGGTAAAACTTCTCCTTGTGTAATAGCTTGCAAACCACACAGAGGATATAAACCGCACTAGGCAAGCCTTGTGCGACAGACTCAACCCAAAAGGTATTGAAGGGAGAATCGATCACAGATCATCCATATGGATAACCACCCTTCAAACCAACCAGAGAACCCGAAGGATTTCTGGGGGTTTTGTGGATATGAAAATGAAATGAAACCACACAACATGTGATAGTGATCCCTGTTCTTGATCAATCTTTGTGGCCAACCCCAACAAAAGTACTTAAATGGCCAAAAACTTATTTAACTAAAAGCACTAATCTTCTTGTAGAATTCTTTAACTTTTTTGCGTTTCCATTATTTTCTGCAAAAGCTGAAATTTGAACACGTTACGATTTCAATTAGTTAACAATAACCCAGTATAATTTCATTAGTGGGGTCTGGGGAGGATAGTTTGTACACAGACCTTACCCCTACCCTGGGATAGAGAGACTGTTTCTGATAGACTCTCGGCTCCCTCCCTCCAAGAACTCCCCACCTTGCTCTTGGGGTGACTCGAACTCATAACCTCTTGGTTAGAAGTGAAGGGTGCTTACCACTAAAGTAACCCACTAAAGCAACTAAAGCATTTGTAATATTTTATATGCATTTTAAATGCTATAGCCTGAAAATATTAATTTGGGTGAAAGAGTACTCGAGATGAAAGAACAACTAGCCATCCAAGAAGCTTGGGATTAGACACTTTACCATGTTTAGAGGGCAGTAAATTTTGGAGAATCAACTAGTGAAACTCAAGATGAGAAACAAAATAAAGCTTTTGACTAAAGTAATAGATCTACCTAACTCAACTGCTAAAGAGGTTATGAATGGACCCTCACACCTCTTCTTTTTCTTTATTTCATATTGCCCCACATTTTGAGAGCATTAGTCTGACTTTTAACTACATAGAAAGCAATGTAAAGAGAGGAATAAAACACAACATAATTATCTTTTGACTATGGACCAAATCATGCTCTTTATTTTCTGCCTATAATTTAGGTGCCTCCCTTGTTGGACATATTCAATAGGATGCACATGCAGCATGCACTAAAAACCATTATTTGCCCTTACCCCACAAATCACAAATTCTCTCTCAATTCCCCAATCCCCGCACATCATCACGGAGTCTAGAACCAAAACTTGCACATCCCTACTACTTTATATAAACTCCCCCAAATAATCAAGAAAATTAGAGAATCAAGAAACCAACACATCAAATATTCTTCTTTCCCTTTTGTTCCATTTCCTTTACCATTAATCATGTCTCGTTTAACTAAGCAACTAACATTCTTCTTGTTCTTGGTGATCTCAACTCCACTAGTACAAATTGAAGCAAGAAAAAGCAAGTTTATGATCATTCCTGCATCTCCTGCACCAGCTCCAACTCCAATCAATGAAATTAGTTTTCCTCCATTTTCATCCTTTACTCCAACTCCATCACCAACACCAACACCAACACCAACATCAGCACCAACACCGTTTTTTAATGATTTCGCGTTTCCTCCATTGTCATCTTTAAGTCCAACACCAGCACCAGTAGGTAGTGATCAAGATCCTGATGTGAACGGTGTACCGGCGCCTGCAGTGGCACCAATAGGGAGTGGTCAAGATCCAGAAGAAGGTGGCATTGAAGCACCAGCACCACTTTTAACTGATACTCCTTATGGACTTTATGGTCCTCATTCTCAGGAAATTCCTTCAACTGTCACAAATCTTGATGAGGTTGAAACTCAAACTCCTGCCGAGGAATTCCAAGGTGCTAGATTTAATACAGATGAGTCCTACAATAACAATGGTTATGATTCCAACAACAATGGCTACTCGGAGAATAACAACAACAAGAACAACAATGGCTACTCGGAGAATTACAACAACAACAACAACAATGGCTACTCCGAGAATTACAACAACAACAACAATGGCTACTCGGAGAATAACAACAACAAGAACAACAATGGCTACTCGGAGAATAACAACAACAAGAACAACAATGGCTACTCGGAGAATAACAACAACAAGAACAACAATGGCTACTCGGAGAATAACAACAACAAGAACAACAATGGCTACTCGGAGAATAACAACAACAAGAACAACAATGGCTACTCGGAGAATAACAACAACAAGAACAACAATGGCTACTCGGAGAATAACAACAACAAGAACAACAATGGCTACTCGGAGAATAACAACAACAAGAACAACAATGGCTACTCGGAGAATAACAACAACAAGAACAACAATGGCTACTCGGAGAATAACAACAACAAGAACAACAATGGCTACTCGGAGAATAACAACAACAAGAACAACAATGGCTACTCGGAGAATAACAACAACAAGAACAACAATGGCTACTCGGAGAATAACAACAACAAGAACAACAATGGCTACTCGGAGAATAACAACAACAAGAACAACAATGGCTACTCGGAGAATAACAACAACAAGAACAACAATGGCTACTCGGAGAATAACAACAACAAGAACAACAATGGCTACTCGGAGAATAACAACAACAAGAACAACAATGGCTACTCGGAGAATAACAACAACAAGAACAACAATGGCTACTCGGAGAATAACAACAACAAGAACAACAATGGCTACTCGGAGAATAACAACAACAAGAACAACAATGGCTACTCGGAGAATAACAACAACAAGAACAACAATGGCTACTCGGAGAATAACAACAACAAGAACAACAATGGCTACTCGGAGAATAACAACAACAAGAACAACAATGGCTACTCGGAGAATAACAACAACAAGAACAACAATGGCTACTCGGAGAATAACAACAACAAGAACAACAATGGCTACTCGGAGAATAACAACAACAAGAACAACAATGGCTACTCGGAGAATAACAACAACAAGAACAACAATGGCTACTCGGAGAATAACAACAACAAGAACAACAATGGCTACTCGGAGAATAACAACAACAAGAACAACAATGGCTACTCGGAGAATAACAACAACAAGAACAACAATGGCTACTCGGAGAATAACAACAACAAGAACAACAATGGCTACTCGGAGAATAACAACAACAAGAACAACAATGGCTACTCGGAGAATAACAACAACAAGAACAACAATGGCTACTCGGAGAATAACAACAACAAGAACAACAATGGCTACTCGGAGAATAACAACAACAAGAACAACAATGGCTACTCGGAGAATAACAACAACAAGAACAACAATGGCTACTCGGAGAATAACAACAACAAGAACAACAATGGCTACTCGGAGAATAACAACAACAAGAACAACAATGGCTACTCGGAGAATAACAACAACAAGAACAACAATGGCTACTCGGAGAATAACAACAACAAGAACAACAATGGCTACTCCGAGAATTACAACAACAACAACAATGGCTACTCCAAGAATTACAACAACAATGGCTACTCCAAAAAAATCAACAATAATGGTTACTCCCAGAATTACATGAACAACAACAACGGCTTCTCCGAGAGTTACAACAGCAACAACAACAACAACAATATTTTCTCCGAGAATTACAACAACAATAATAACAATAATGTTTTCTCCGAGAATTACAACAACAATAATAACAATAATGTTTTCTCCGAGAATTACAACAACAATAACAACAATGCTTTCTCCGAGAACTACAACAACAATAATGTTTTCTCCGAGAATTACAACAAAAACAATAACAACAATGCTTTCTCCGAGAACTACAACAACAATAATGTTTTCTCCGAGAATTACAACAAAAACAATAACAACAATGCTTTCTCTGAGAATTACAACAACAAAAACAACAATGCCTACTCTGAGAACTACAATCAAGCTAGCAGCTACAATAACAATGGCAATACGGTGGAGAGGCAAGGATTAAGTGATACAAGATTCTTGGAGAATGGCAAGTACTATTATGATATCAAGAATGAGAATCCCAACCACAACAATGGCTACTCCGAGAACTACAATCATGTTAGCAGCTACAATAACAATAACAATATGGTGGAAAGGCAAGGATTGAGTGACACAAGATTCTTAGATAATGGCAACTACTTTTATAGTAACAATGGTGAGAAAATGTCAATGGAAGAATCTGAAAGACAGCAGGAATATCCAAATACTGAAGATCAGTATGAACTTCCTTGAAGACTAACATTATCAGTTGGCTTAAAGAAGAGGGACAAATGCAGGGAACATGGAAATAGATTTAATTTACAGAGTTTGATTGAATTTTTAAGTTATTTTGAGTGTTTGTTCATTAGTTCCACTTGCGTCTGCAAACACCTTTTTTTCTTTTTTATAGTTCTGCAAATCAGACCGAGGGAACTTTGTGTTGTTTAACACTTTCGGATTTTTGAAACTTATTATAATGATCTTGATGCTTCACGCCTGATTATAAACACTTATTATTATTATATTATTATTATTCCCTCACCTCCCAACCTCCTACCCCTCTCTGTGTCTCTACTCTACTTTAAAATTTCTGGTCAGGGATGTTGATTTGCCCGATTGATAACTACTGCGTACTATTATAAAATAGTACGAAAGCATTATCACGGTCAACTACACATAATTTGATTGCCTATCTCAAAATTTTGTTAACACATTTTTCAAATTATAAACTTTGACTAATATAACTTATACAAGTATACAACAAGTTAAACTGGTTCCTTTCTGAAAATATGTGTTTATTCGAAAAACGAATAGAGTTAAATTTGTATCTAAGGATATGTCAACACAAATCGTATGGGTAAGTAAGAATATCTAATATTTGACTGTAAGGATGAAAGATATGAAGCTAGAAAGGATAATTCTTCAATATGGAATGTGTGATATCTCAGTTACAAAGTATGCAAAAATTTTGTCTTTACAGAAATGTAAACATCCTCTTTATAGTGGAAGATCCTACTTTAGATATAATTAAAAATACATAGTGGGGAACCCATGATAAATCAGTTTTTCTCTAATTCCTGCAGAGATTCTCTCCCTTAGTGCGGTTGCAACAGCTCTTGTCTGTGAGCTCGAGCTTGATCGGACTCGGTGCTGGTTAGTATTATTTTTAGAGCTCGATGTCGCCTCGGGATCTGGTAATGACTCGGACTCGGTATCGGTTGGCCTTTGCCCCTTAAGCTCGATTCTATAACATTTCATCATAATTCGATTTGGAACCGAGCTCGATAATGATTTCGAACTCGATGTTTGGCCTATACCTGAAATCTGTAGTTTGTTTGTACCATATTCGGAACCCATTTCGATATTTATGAAGTCTTTCTTTAGTCCATTATGATCACATCTCGATCAATCGTACGAAGGCCGAAATCAATTTCGATTGTATACAGATAGTCCCCTCGTTTCTCGGGAAGGATGTGGTGATAAACGATATGATTTCTCAATGGCTCGATTGGATATGCACTGACGTTTGCATCGATCCCGACCATGGCGTACGTGATAGTTGTCCCGTCGGTTTAACTTACCAAGGCATTTAATGCGTGTCAGACGGTGGTCGGTCACCGTTAATATTGAACCGTCATTGCTTCAATCTATAAATAGCCCTTCCTTTTACCATTTATCACTTTTACATCTTTTAATCTTCCAAATTTTTCAAGTTCCTTTTAGTATCTTCTGAGTTCATTCACAAATATGTGATTCTTTTCTGCAAAATCCTTCTTCAAAACCACCAAATCTTTGTCACCTTCTTTAAATCCAAAAAATGGTGAAAATATCAAAAATCGTCCCCCAAAAAGAAAAAGCTTCTTCTTCACAATCTGCCATCGACAAAACACCGGTGGATCCACGGTCTGAGGAGTGCGTTCCGGCGGCGTGTGTTCTTACCTCCGATTTTAAGGTCGACAAAGGCTCTTCGGTTCCGGGCCGATATGAGCCGATATCGAGGTATATGTGTTCGATAACCGGGGTATATCTCGAATAGGTAAAAAAAATTGTAACTGGAAAAACAAAGAACTGGTAGTCCCTTCTCCCGAAGAGGATATTACTACCCATATGGAAGGGTTTTTAAGTGTGTACACTTACCCTTTCACGTTAGGCCCCCTTGGCCCTGTTATCATCGATTTTTGCCGTAAATATCAAATAACCTTAGGCCAAATCCATCCTTCTTTTTGGCGGATCGTTATTCTAATCTGTTTCTTTGTGAGTAAAATTGAGGGGATGTCTTTCACCCTCGACCACCTCATTAGATTGTATTGTCCCCGCCTCTTTCAAGGTGGGTTAATAAAACTACAGCGCCGGGCTACCAAGGTTCTGTTCTCAAGCATAGATGAGGAAAAGGATCGATGATGGATGGGTAAGTTCGTTCGAGTGAAGACGTCGGACCTAATACTGGCCGAGAAGATGCCATTTCCCGAATAATGGAACATGAAGCATAAGTGTAACTCGGTTGTTATCTCCCATTGTTTTGCCCCTTAGTTTCCTTTCTTACTGATATCCCCTTTTGTGGTGCAGCAGTTCCTTGGATGCCCGGTGCGGTTCCTGACCTCAAAGACTGGGTACGGGCCCTGGCTTTGACTTCTACGTATGCCAAGCGTTCATGGCGCGATTTGTCAAAGGGCCGATGGGAGGCCAAAAATTATGGTAATCTCCTTTCTCGCATCATTGATAGTTCGAACTATTTTTCGTATACTCAAATCAATTTTCTTGTGTGTAGGTTTGGGCAAGGATGCGGTTTTGAGACACCTGTTAGGCGAGGAGGAAACTTCGGCCTCGGTTTCGAAACCGGCAAAAGACAATAAGAGAAAAAGGGCCTCTACTTCCGAAAATCCAAATCCGAAGGCTCGTAAGTCGAAGAAGAATACCATCCTTTTAACCTTAGAATCAGATCGGCGTTTGAGGGATGAAGAAGAGGAAGAAGGAAAAGACGATGAGCCCGTACTAGTGGCCCGAATGAAAAAAACTATTGATGCCCCACAGGCAGCTGGATTGATGGTGGTTTACAAGGCTCCGCCTCGAACTGAGGATATATCGGAGAAAGATTCGGGCAAAGTCCCTGAGCTATTGGGAATCGAGGATATCTCCCATCGAAGTCAACGGATATGTCTGAAGGGGTCATCCCTAACTCTCTCTGAACCGAAGAGAACTCCCAAGCGACTCACTTGGGGAAGTAATAATCGAAGACTCACCCATTTTCCCTGTTTTTTCGAAGGGGCGATTCGGGAAGCCCAAGATTTGGGGGCCCTTAAGGTAGATGGATCTCATGAGGGAGATGATCTTTTTCATGATTTATTTACCGGTGTGGAGGACGTTGCCGACACTAGTGATGCATCAGATCTTTTCCTCGAAGTGCAGCAGGCTTTGAATCGAGTAAGCCTTAACTTACTTCGTTGGTAATGCCTTTATGTTTGTTTTTCTTTTCTAACTTTGTTTCTTCTTTCTTTGGAGGCCACAACAGTTCATCGAGAAGCATATTCTCGGTCCCGAACCGAGCTACATCGATACGAGTCCGACCTTTAACGGGTTACAGAGGAGAGGAACTCCCTTAAACTCCTCTTAGGGCAAAGGGGAGAGGAAATCAAAGACCTATGAGTTGAGTTGGAGAAGGCTCACCAAGATCAGACCGATCTATCTAAGAAGGTAATGATACTTTTAAAATCCTATGGGCTCGATATCAGAACGATGGCTAATTCTTCGGTCTCACAGTTGCAGCAGAAAACTGAGATGATCGGGAAACTCCGTGAGAAGGTCGATGTGATAAAAGCAGAGTCTTTGAAGTGGAAAGAAGGTATGGACTGCATTGCTGCAGAGAAAGAAGCTGCTCGAGCCCAATTATCATCAGCCGAAAACCAACTTCAAAGTATGAAGGATAAAGGCTCGGTTCAAGCAAGAAGAATAGAAGAGCTCGAGGCTCGGTTGGCCTCCGAACTTGCCAAGGCCGAATCTGACGCCGAAAAGGCAAAGGCCGAGGCGGTTGCATTCGTGACGGTCTATCGAGCCGATGCTGAAGCTGCTCAGGCACGAGCAAGAGAGGTAGTCGAGACCACCAACACACGAGCACATCGGGTTATTGAACTTGCTAAGTGCCGATCTCAGGGGGAGACCCTCGAGGAGATCCATGCTCGAGGTTTCGACCTCACTTAAGTGATAAAAAGGGATAATGAGCTTGAAGCCGATGTTGAAGCCTTGGCTTCCGATGATGATGATAGGAGCAAGAGCGGGTCTTTAGAGTGGAGAAGAGCCCGATAGAGAAGAGACCGCCCACGGGGATAACCAAGAAACTTAGCCCTTAGTTTCTATTTCGGATGTTGCGAATAATCATGTAAACAATCTTGTACATATATATAAATTTCTTTTCTTTTCTCATCTTGCCTCTGTTTTATTTTCTGCCTTATGAAGATTTTGTTTCATTCATGCCTTATGAAGGTTTTCATAAGGCTTTAGGAAATTTGACCGAATTCGGACCTTGTAGCCTTTATAACAAGTGAGTGCTTGCTCAAACTCGAAATAAGGTAGCCCATAGGCTTATTAATCGAGCGAGTGTTTGCTCGAACTCGAAATAAAAAGTAGCCCGTAGGCTTAGTAGTCGAGTGAGTGATTTCGAACTCGAAGTAATATAGCCCATAGGCTTAATAGTCGAGTGAGTGCTTGCTCGAACTCAGAATGAAAGTAGCCCGTAGGCTTAGTAGTCGAGTGAGTGATTCGAACTCGAAGTAATGTAACCCGTAGGCTTTAATGGTTGAGTGAGTGATTCGAACTCGAAGTAATGTAGCTCGTAGGCTTAGTAGTCGAGTGAGTGATTAGAACTCGAAGTAATATAGCCCGTAAGCTTAGTAGTCGAGTGAGAGATTCAAACTCGAATTAATATGGCCCGTAGGCTTAATAGTTGAGTGAGAGATTCGAACTCGAAGTAAGGGTAGACCGTAGGCTTGATAGTCGAGTGAGTGATTCGAACTCAAAGTAATATATCCCATAGGCTTAATAGTCGATTAAGTGATTCGACCTCGAAGTAATATGGCTCGTAGGCTTAATAGTCAGGTGAGTGATTCGAACGCGAAGTAAGGGTAGCCCGAAGGCTTAATAATCGAGTTAGTGATTCGAACTCGAAGTAATATAGCCTGTAGGCTTAATAGTCGAGTGAGTGATTTGAACTTGAAGTAATATATCCTGTAGGCTTAGTAGTCGAGTGAGTGATTTGAACTTGAAGTAATATATCCTGTAGGCTTAGTAGTCGAGTGAGTGATTCGAACTCAAAATAATATAGCCCGTACGCTTAGTAGTCGAGTGAGTGATTCGAACTCGAAGTAAGGATAGCCCGTAGGCTTAATAGTCGAGTGAATGATTCGAAATCGAAGTAATATAGCCCGTAGTCTTAATAGTCAAGTGAGTGATTCGAAATCGAAGTAATATAGCATGTACGCTTAGTAGTAGTAAGTGATT